GATGCTCCTTTCAGCTTAAATTAGCCCTCTTTAAAGATGCTACAACCAGCATCAGTAGCAAGTGGGCAGATATACCTGTGGCAGAGTTCTATCCACTGTAATGAAGTTTCTAAAAGGTAACCTAGTACATTTATCATTTAGCATAGAATTTAACGCAGTTAAAACTAACGGGAAAATTGGCAACAAACTTTTAACTTCCCTTAACACCAAAACATTTATGATCCCAAGAACAGTTTTTAACAGTCAATTAGGATCACTGCTCATGTCTACTAGACTTGCTGCTCCTAGCTACGTTTTTATTTCCAGTACAAGGAAAGTCAGCTAACACCACATCTAATAAGGCTGTATTGAAAATATGCAACTGTCTAATCAATAAACATAACAAATTATAACCCAGACTATGTTGTCCAGTATGTAAACTTAATTTGTTCTTCACAAAACATGCCTGACTGGCAGCAGAAAGTTAAAGGGATAAAATGCTAACAATCATTCCATGTCCTGCCTCTCAGAGATGAGTGGGTTGCTTTGGACAGTCCTGCAACTTCTAAACTCCTTACTCACACCTATCATCCTATTCCTTGAATGTAACTCAGGAGGTATATAGAACTCCATGAAAACGATAATACTGGACTTTAGAAAATGCAAAAAAAAAAAAAAAAAATCACTTAGCTTTAAGAGTTCAAATACAGACAGTGTTACGTCCCAGGTGCCCAAATGCCAGTGGAAATCAACCTCTGGTTTAAAAACTGATTACTAAAACTATATCCACGCACTATTGAGTTGACGTTGATCAGTAGAAGGAAATTCCATTAAAAATTCATATTCTCAATAGCATTCCCTCCTTATTAAGACTCTTTGATTGTTGAAATAATTTGCAGTTTGTGATACTGAATACACAAACAACCGAGGAAAAAAAACTTCTTACATCTACAATCAGTTATGTAACAGACATATGAAACAAACATTTCTATGTTCTGAATAAATCTTTTAATACATTTATTCTCTTGCATAAGAATAAAGTCATTGTATACTCTTCAGAAAAACATTTACAAGCTTTAAAGTACAAAACAGGTCATCACTAACACACTACCCAATACCACGTTCTCTACAGCTCCGTGGAGGCCATTCTCAGATCTCCATCACATTCAACACCTTCAACTAACTTTGTCTTGCCTTCTCCAATGTCAATAGTAGGACAGCTATGGTCCACTAGAACTTTAAGGCTAAAACTTTTAAAAGGGAAACAAGACATTCAGATAACCTATTCCCATCATATTTCAAAGCCTACCGATAATTCAAGATATGACACTGCTGAGGCAGGGGGAGAAGTCTGCACAACAGAAAGCTGGAATTCAGACCCAAAGTAAGGAATGCTTGGGCATTTTTTCTTGTTTGCAAGTAGAGAAAAATATCATCTACAGTTCTTTTAAAATAAAAATTAGTAAATTAGCACTCCGAAATAAGAATCAGTTTTCCAATAAGAAAATGGAATAAACATTAGACGCTACAGAACATTTGACAATGTGAAGTTTACAGATGATAAAAAGGATTTACTAAACTAGCAGTGTTGTCAGAAACATCCATTGCATCATGCTGTCATAAACATCTGGATGGATATTATCTCTTTGGGCGTGGGGGGAAATAATGTTGCCTCTCCTTTTTTCTGTCTTTCCGTTGATCAAAAACTCTTCATAAAAATGCCATAATCATGATTCAAACAATTTGTTACAGAAATCTTCTTGAGATTTATCAATAAATTAAAGTGATCTAAGCCAGCTGGTCTATAAGAAAGAGGATCCGTCTTACAGTCAAAATAACATCTCGTTTATTCTGAGACAACTGAGAGAAAATTCCTTAAAGATCAGTGAATGTAAAAGTCAGCATTGGCTTGAATGAATCTGCCCCCAGTGCACTGCAAATCACCTTCGACAATGAGACACTTCGACAATCATCTGTGATGAATTAGATCAGCACAGCCTTCTTTGCAACCTCATGGACTACATACACACCTTGGAACAGGTATGTTTATGGGCCATGCCAGTTGTATTTGTAGCAAAAAAAAATCCTTATTAAAATCCATAGAATAATTAAATAAGCCCCAGATAAGAGTATCAAGAAGAGATGAAACTGTCTTGAGCTCCAAGAAATGGACAAGTTGGAACACCTAGCAAAAGAGAAGAGCTAGAACAAGCTTTTAACAATAAGAGCAGCACTGTTACACAGGAAAAGCCTGGTCCAATCCAAACAATTAAAGACAATCCTAACAAGTTAAAACTCTGTCATCATTACACAACAATAACAAATGACAGCTAGATCCCACACACTAGATTTCCTGAATTTATGCTAAAGTAAGCTAAGTTAATTATATCTGAACAATTCAAAACAGCAGGAAAGAAATTCACTAGTACAGTAAATGAAGAACTCTGCAGCACCCAGACTCACCAGAAAGAAGAAAAAGGGTAAGTATTATTCTCTTCCCAGTATCTGTATCACAGCATGTAGGGTGAAAAGACACTCCAGTTACCAACTGCAGCAAGGATAAGTGGCTTTAAGGAAGCCTTCTTTAACTACTTCAATTTTATTTTTTAGATAGTACTAAAATAAAGAAATTGATATTTTTAAAATCACCCAATAGTTTGTAGAACACAAACAGATACTGAATATAATTAATTTGAACCGTTAAAGATACCACAGTCTTTATGCACACCACCTTGCTGACGTCTGCTAAAAAGGCTTACACAGCTACTCAAGGCTGATTACTTGCATGGACTGCAACTCTGTAGAACAAACAAGACAGATAAAGTCTTACTGTGATCTATTCAGACTGCAAAAGTGCCTACGGATATGCCTTGTTGGGGTGAACCTCGTAAAGAAATACTGTAAAGAGAGTAAAATACAGTCTAGAGCCTGATATGATGTAAGCTACAGCCATCCCACAAAAGTCCATGTGGATTCAAAATCTTACAATGAGACCCTGATTCAAAAATACTTCACAGAACTACCACTGCTCTCTGTCTCCCAACAATATTCTCCTCCTTATTCCACACATTATTCCCTACCTCTGTTATTGTCAATCTGGACACTGGGTCCCACTTCCTCTTCATTTTTACACCAGTGTAGCTCCAGTTACCTTACCTTGGCACACTACTCAGAGTACAACAGGGCTCTTTCACACCATTTGAGTAACTGCATATTGACTGTCACCTCCAGTGAATTTTTACTGGTCTGTTAATTACAGAGTAATTTGGCAGCAATGTTTGCTCACTCCGGGATTTATTTTTTTGGGGGGTGCTGTGGTTTTGGCGTTGATTTTTTGTTTCGGTTTTGTTCCTTTTTTAATTCATTAGCAGTTCGTTCCTAAGTACTTGACTATGGCCTGCACACCAAAGCACTGCTAATTCTACAGTTGTCTTTCCACTGCAGTGACCTCGGGATTAGAAGTTTTAAGATGGCGCCAAGGGAAGAGCTACAAATAGCAGAAGCTATTCAACACAGGTCATGGAAGAAGTTACTACAAGGACTTACGCTGGGCATGTACCTGCTCCTTTCCCACAGTCCTCTCATGTCCCTACCTCACCAGCACTACAATACTCAGCTTCTTCCCTGCTCTCTAATATTTTCCCTAGTTTCTTCCTGCAATAGTCTCTTCGGTTCTATTTCTGCCAAAGACAGAGCATGTAAGCAGCAGAGACATGTTCACACTGACTGATTTGTTAGGGGGGGCATTAAATACACTGTATGACCATCAATGGTAGATTTGTATCTTCTTTCTCATTACAGTAACCCCTTCCCATGCCTGCCTGACAGCTGGGAAGCCGAATGGTTTTGTGGCTTATTTGGCATCTTACATTTCTTATTTCTCAAGCCAGCCACCTTTCCCATTACATTCCATGTCTATTTTCTCAGAAAAATTGGATCCCTCTCTAGGTTCCTGAAAACAAACTGATACAAATTGCAGTACTCTAACAGCTCCTTTAACTTTCTAATCAATTTATAATGCACAAATTAATACCAACCACCTCATTGTCTGAACATACATTTTGAAGGCTTCCCTAAGGCTAAGGAGGTTAGATTAGCTAGGCCTAAGGCTAACACTCAAAGAAGATTCTTTCTCCACAAGACAGAGCCTTCAAGTCTGTCCTGAAACTCTTAACATGAGATCCTGCATGCCTACAGTATTTAGTAGCTCAGTGTGCTGCCAAGCACACTCAGACTGTTCAAAGGCATTTATGTTGTTGGAAGGCAAGTGCATACAGAGAGGATTGTGGTGTCGTGCATTTCCATGCCCAACTGTTGCACAGATACAGCCAACACACCCTATTTCAGAAACGATACTGGAAAATTACAAAGAAAAGCAAACAGTTCTGTAGAATTGCTATTGCCACTTTTTTAAGGCTTTTCATAGATACACATCAAAGCTATGTTCTTGTTACCATCACAAGCCATCTCCTATTCAAGCCAAGCACAAAAAAAATTGTTTTACTGGATTCAGATTTTTTGCTTCACAGTGACAGCCCTAATGTTGCTAATATTGTCAGCATTATGGGCATGAGGCCAGTTGAGAATAAGGTGCCATTGTAATGAGCCCTACCCCTTCAGGCAGTAGTGCCCTGGAATACGCATCGATATTCTGTTGTGAGCACTTATGCATCTGAATGCTTCACATTACTCACGATCACAATAGGGAAATATTTATCATTTGGTAAAATAACGCAGAAGAAAGCAAATTCCATGATAAAGGAGGGAGTCAAACTCCCTTGTGCTGACACTAATCAGTGGACCGTCCTTGTTCTCAGGACAAATGGACAAAATGGATGGGAGGAGAAAGCACCTACCATAAACTGATACCCAAATTACACTCAGAATTCAGGTCTCCTGAAATCCAGTTTATAGCTATTTAGGTTACACCAGGTATTGTACTAATACCCTCCTACAGAAATCAGGCTTGAAACAAAAGTATACTAAACAGAAATGACTGAAATCAGGTAGAGAAGCCTCACCTGAATAAGATAGTGAGAACATAAACTGAGAAGCTCCAGCAGCTGCAAATGACTCCCAGCTGCTAAGACATCCTGTATCACCCCTGGTTCCAAGAGGATCTGTAAAGAAGAAAATGGAAAGTTTGTCATGCAGAAGTCATCATACTTGTAGAAAATACTACAGGCCTTCATTATTTCAGACATTTAAGTCAACATAAAGAACAGAAAGAGCATATAGAGAAGTCTTTGCAGGATAGGAACAGAGTTTCTAAAGTTCACCTGAATTGCCTAAAGGATTTTTAAGCAGACTTTCCTGTGAGAATCCATAAGCCTCATTACCCCCTAAATCATTTAAAACTAAATATATGTTATTTATTTAAAAGGGAGACTTTTCAAAATAACAGAACTTCCTTTTGTTATCCATATACCTGGATGCTTCCATATACACTGATGAATCAGACCAACAGAACTGACTCAGAAGTCTCCAGTATTAATACTATCTGTACTTGTAAAAAATACACAGGCTAGGGACACCCTTCCCATTCCCCACGGTACCACTTGGTAATTTTCCTAACCACTGTCTTCACTGTCTTCATTTTATAGAACGAGGCTGTGAAGGCACAGAGTGAGCATGCTGCTGGGGAAGTGCCAGAAAGGGCTTAGAAATCAAGACTGATTATCCTGTCACTTGCTCACATGAAACTCCTACTCATTTCAATTAAAATCACGCACAGGCAGCAGCCAGGATAATTGGGCCTCAGCTTCTAGCCTGCTGTCTTGGGGTCAGCTTGTTAGAGCATGCCTTTCAGGAAACAAAAAAAAAGTCTTTGGAAATACAGACACTGGTCAACTTCTTACCAGCAATCCCATTACAAAATATTTAAATAATACTAATTTGGATAGAAGTGGTGCAGCATCCAACAAAAATCAGAAATGCATGAGAAAAATTAATTTTTCAAAGATACTCCGTTTATTCAGAGTTTCATCCTTGTATTTCCCCTGGCAACTTTGGTTTCACGCCACACGAGGTCAGTCTCTCACTGCTCCACAGGGAGGTAAAGCTTTTTTCAGATCTTTTTTTTTTCTTCTGCCCACACAATTTAGTTTTATCTTACAGCATCATTTATAGGTCTCAAACGCAGTGGAATAAGGAGGAGGCAAACAAAAGAAAAGACGCTCATCTGCATGTTTTACAGTTAAACTGTTTTTAAGGGAAATGAAAAAGACATGTATGCATTTCTTCAAGCAAACCCACAAATTGCCTCCAACATAATGGATATATTAGGAATGGGATAGAAGGGGATTAATTCTTGTTTATACCAAGAACTCATTTACATTGATCTGTCAGTCTATGACATGCTTAAAGCTTGTGCAAATCACTATATATATATTCATAATAGGTTTTAAGTGAACATATATGTAATTTACATACTTATAAAAGTTCTCTATCTAGCCAGAAAGACATGTAGGGATGGATCTTAATGTAAATGAGAATCAGGCCCAGCACAATCCAGGTTTTTGCCTGGTGCTAATGAGGTTGCTATGCATGACAAGAGTAGTTCAATGGAAAGCTAGAAAGGATTTCAGTTACAAAAATATCTTCAATAGGTATATTTAAAAAAAAAAAAAAATGAGCAGCACTGTCAAATATTTTCAAGTGAGAACTGAAGGTCAGACTGACAAAACAAGCTGGTTTAAACCTTGCAGCGTTTGTTATTCAGACATCATTTACACTGAGGAAGTTGTCATCTGATCTCACACTACTTACTAAGTGCCAGCCACCAGCTTAGCATTGTTAAAGACACAATATGAAGAGAACCAGAACCCTAAGCAGATTACTACCTTGTAGGCACAGGCAAACTATATTTAACTGTGATAATATTAATGTGTTTTAAAGCTACAGCAATCCATTTACAAATAATACTAGTAGCATTATGAGATGAGAAGTAGGACAAGAGGCAAGGAGGATGACTGGTTACTACCTAGAGGTGATTTGCACAAAGTCAGCAACAGAAGTTCATTTCAAGGTGGCAGACTTATTTCTTAACGTGTTTTTTCCATTTCTCACAGCTTTCCTATACCATGCAAGATTTATTCTGCCGAGATAAAACCTTTGTGCTTCCCAAGATAACTGAGGAAGTCTCTTTCTTTTCTTCCCAAGACTTTGCCTAAATGGAACTACCTGAATTTTTATTCAATACTCATTTGGATATAGGCAAAAATAGCAATTCATTTATGCTGAATGTTCACCATCAGCAAACTGCATGCTGGGGAAATCCACAAAAAAAAGAAAACAGTACTTAAACTGGGGTAATTCACAATTACTCCACACCTCTTAGCTTCTATACATTAATACAACTACTTGATTTTTATGAATTACCAGCAAAGCTGTTTATATGCGATATAGACCATCCAGCTGAATCTTAACATTAAATGCACATAAATACCACCGTAGGCACAGCACAAGTACACACAGTGACTGACACTCTGTTCGTCTAACCCTCAAAACAACAGCTGAGAGATACTTACTGAAAATTAAGAAGAGGGAAACCAAGATCTACTTTGGATTCACACTTCCAAAATTCATCACAAATTATTAGTGTGAAAACTAAAAAGAGAAGCTTAATCATTTTTCCTACTTCGTCCTCAACCAAAGGGTTACAAGGCATAATTATCAGGGCAGAAACTCAGAGTAATTTGGAACCATCAACTTCAGACAAAACTTTGCAATCTTCACCAGTGAAGGATGTGACTGTGTGCAACACATGCAATCTTAAGACTGGTTTCTGTGCTGTTTTTATATTAAGATTAATTAGATGCAATTCAGGTACTGCATCTGGCTGAATCATACAATCAATCCTCTATTCAACCTTTATTTCTGAGTGTTAATTTTCATTATTCTCCTGACTTTTCTTTGGCCCATGATGCTACCCAAGAACATCAGCTTAACCACCTTCTCCCTGTATACAACAGGTAGATCTTGCAGATAGTCGTAATAACTTACTTTCCCAAGGCACCAGGTCTGACTTACTTCTCATTTTCAAATTGATCTCCTTTGTCAAGCTATTTTTCTCCTCCCTGACAATGACTGTGTTTTCAAACAGGAATCCTGCTCTTCAAGGCAGCCATTCTATCCTTCATCGTCCCACAAACCCTTCGAAGAGTATGCATCAAATCCAGTTCACTCTCTCTTGTGATCAGATCCGCAGGCCAAAGGATAGAAAGGATGCAAATTTTGGTGTTTCCTTGCAACAGAATGCTGAGTTCACAAGATCCAGAAAGGCAGATTACACAATTTTAGATCCACGTTTCTTAGACACACAATTTAAATCTATATGGAAATGCATCCATTTATGCTTCATTGATACATTGAGGAAAACTGCTCTGTAAATGCAAGAATTAGAAACTTTCATAAACTAAACCTGAGCTTCTGAGGCAGAAAAAATAATTCTATAATCAGCCCCATGGTCACAGATACACATGGCCCTGAACACTCTCCTGTACATCTACCCTCTGGGCAGCAGATCTAAAACTGGAATTCATTCCCCCTTCCCCAAGATTTCCCTCTTCCTTTCCCAACTCATCGTGCATCCCCTCCAACCCAGTACATCTTAGGGCTATGGGTAAGCATGGAAAAGATTAACTGGTATCATGCACCTTGCCTCTCTCTTCAATCAGTTTTCACTGGGAGACTTCTCGGCAGTAACTAGCAGCTATGACTTCTTGGGCCAGCAGCAGTACATGAACCACCATCCTTTCTCAAGCACAACTACTCATGTCTCACCTCCACACTGCCCGAACTGAGAACATCCTCCTACTCTTTTAGTGCCTTCTGCCGCCCTACAACCAACAAACCAGTATAGGCCAACAAAAACTGGTACGGTCATAGCAAGGAGGGCAGTAACAGACAAAAGAGAGTGAGGATGAAACTCCTTAAACTGCCCTTCCCAACAAAGAAACTTACAGCCTGAGGGAGAGGGTAAAGTCCAGGTTAATGATAACCTCTATGGAGTTTCACAAGGTTTATACCTGGAAAGAACAATTAGATAATTTAATTTATTCCTTGTATACGGCAGGCCATTATATTTCATCCAGCCCAAGGAGGCTAAACTGTGTGCCCAGACAGAGACCAAGAGGTTGAGGATACCCTTCCATCACCTTAATTCCAGCTACTCATTTATACCTCCGTATGTCCTTCTCATTTGCATACAGCTGTTTGTGGGGCCACGGAATAAGGGAGATGGTGGCAAGACTCACATTAAAAATAAACCAGCATTATGCTATAACAGTAAGGAAATATGTAATGTCACATCAGAAAATTCTAGAAAGTAAACCATATGGACTTTAGCACAGAAAACAAGAAAAAAACCAATCCTAAGATTCCTGCCAGCCTGATGCAAAAGAAAATTCCTTCTTGACTCCACTTGCAGTGATCAGCATTTCAAACAAGACAAGCAATCTAACAAAAGTACCACTTGTTTTCCCCCTCTGGAGACCATTCTGTGTGCTTCAGAGCAATCAAAAAAACCTAACTTTTCTTTTAGAGCAATTTAGACTGCATTTCACTCGCAACCAGTTAGCACTTCTGCCTGTCACCCTGTTCATTCGTGCTTCAGTTGAATCCTGAGCTGCTTGCATGTTGAGAAGTGCTGCTTCAAAAAAGTGAGCGGGGGAAGAATATTCTAGTCCCCTGCAGACAACTGCCCAAAGCCCTGGCACATAATGTTTGACAGCGCTCATTACAAAATCCAGATGTCTCACTAGTCAATGCCAGAAGGAATCATGACCAGCATTTCTCTGATATAGGTCATAATATTTTTCCAGAAAACTAAATGAAAATGTGTGTTAACTGTACAGCATATAAATCATAGAATATCTTGAGTTGGAAGGCACCCATAAAGATCATTAAGTCCAACTCTCTGCTCCTCGCAAGACTGCCTAAAATTAAACCATATAACCAAGAGCATCATTCAGATGCTCTTTGAACCCTGACAGGCTTGGTGCCATGACCGCTTCCTTGGAGGGCCTGTTCCAGTGACCAACCACCCTCTCAGTGAAGAATCTTTTACTAATGTCCAATCTGAACTTCCCCTGATGCAGCTTCATACCATTATGAAGTA